GCTCAGTTTCTCATAAACAACGAAGACAGCAGCGGAGTTCGCTGCGGCTCTTTCCTCTGTTCTAAATGACTCCGATGTCTTTAAAACCACAACAAGTAGACGTGCTAAAAGCATTTCTTCTAAAAGATTAAAACGATTGCGCCGTTGCCAGACGCCTTTTTTGACTACAGCTAAAAAACTACAGCGTCTGCATTTCCTTCTTTTTTGTGATTGGTTACTTTTTGAGCTGCCTAGCCCCGCCCCTCATGTGCCTCTACCTGTGGGTAACCAGACTCTCTCTGTGCAGAATTAAACTGAGGACGAGTCTGGCAGGCCAGGCTAGGTTTAGGCCTTCTCCATTGCAAAGTGACTATCATTGGGATGTTTTAGATTTACAACTTAGTAGGCACAGATTAAATGAGCCTCCTTCAACAATAGAAGAGGCCTTTTGCTAAACTTCCACTGCATGATTAATTCTCGCTAGATTTGGAGTTTTCCAAACTCAGGAGAATCCATCTTGTACCGCTCCAGTCCAAACCGTCTCACCTCAGGTCCAAAATAGGCCGGACCAATCGTGTGTCAGTACTGTGCTGTAGGATAGGAGATAGTTTTGATGATGGTATCAATGAACATGAGATCCATCTAACTTAAGTTATTTCATATCAAAATATGAAAACAGTCAAAATGACTGCCTTGGGAGTTCTAGTGTTAAATGGCAGGGTTCGCATTGACCGGATTTTTGACGGCAAACCCTCAAGACTGCAGATGCGCCGACATTTTAATCGTTACGCACATCGCAGAGGTAGCTACATCAATCAGGAAAAGATTCCCATCAGACCATCTGAGCTCAGTGCAGCTTGCTGTCTGCGCGCACGTAAGGTGGACGGCGAGCTGAAGATGTGGAGAAGGGCTTGGAGCGCGTCGCAGAATCAGAGCGCATGCAGGAAGATTCCACCCACTGAAGCGAGTGCTTTCCAAACCCTGTCTCTCACAGAGACTTGGCCCTTAGAAAATGTTCCCTGATCATGAAACTTTGGCTGAATAGCGCTTGTTCCTGTCTCCATCGTTGCGATGCATCCATGAGCCTGTCTGAGGCAAAAGTCCAGAACCTCATATCCTCCTCAGCTCAGAAAGCTCCTATAGAGATATCTGATTACGCACAAGCAGGTGACCTGTCAACCTGACTTTAAGAGACTTTAACTCCACAGAGTTTTAGCCAACAGCTATGGATGTAACTAAACTGCGGAAGCTCTGCATGGACAAGACTCAACAACTCTAAACTCAAGAGACTTGAATAAATGGGACACACTTCTTTCCTGCAAAGGAAAGTTCACAGGTGTTGCCAATACCTATGCTCCTTAAAGGGATGGGCTCCTGGCTGCAAAACATCGCACCATCAAATACATCATTTTGTCTTTACTTGTGAGTGTTTATGTAGACTAATAAACTTCTTGCTACAGTATGTAGATGAATATGTAGCAGAGTTTTTCCTGGCTCAAACTGAGGCAGAGGTGGTACCATCCTGACTATGCGCCAACACTCTGTGCATTCAACTGTCTCACTTTTTTAAAGGCTAAATATTATAAAAGTCTCAATAATATGCATTAGATTGGTGTTTAGTTCCTTTGTTCCATCTGATATTTATAGTTAAAATATTTTTAAATATTTGACCTACATTTCAGTAACATTTTAGGTTTGTATTAATAACACTCATCTTGTTGTTCCGTTTTGCCTCGGCCCCCAAAATGCCTTGAAGCGGCCCTGGGTGTGTGTTTGAGTATTGAAGGTGATCTGAAGTTAGGGTGACCAGATCCCAACTTGCCAAATGTGGGACAGAGATACTCCGTGTGGGACAACGGGAAGTCCTAATGAGAAAAACATGCAAACAAAACGTACATTCTGCCTTTTAGCCCCAACATCACTGTAACATATACATAAATGATTATTGTCATCATATATTTCTTGTACACATTTTATTTGAATTCAACACGAAGAAGCAAACAGCAACAGCTTTACTATTTCACAGTTCCTTTCACGTTACCACTACATGACTGTAGTGGCTCTGATCATTTTAATAACACAGATCGGCCCACAATAATACAAACATGCTGGTTTAAGCTGCTTTTCACAGTTTTCATTCAATGTTTTCCACAACAGAATGACAGTAAAAGTACCAGTAATATGTTTAGATATGTTTGTTTGTTTTTAATTCATTTTCCACTAAAATCAGCATCTCATAGAAAAAATATCCAACTTCTTTGCTATTTTTTCATAATTCAGAAACAAATTAAATGATTTTTTAAACATGACAACAAATCTCTTCTAGATTTTAGGTGAGAGAATAAACATCAGATTCTAATCTCTAAATATTCAGATATAATCTAATAAAAGTTTCTTAGAGTTACTTTTTACCTCAAATTTCTGAAAATAAGTGATGAAAGCTTCGTTTACTCTCATTATTTCTTCGCTGTGCTTTAAGGGGCTCAGCGTGTAGCAGGTATCTGAAACCGCAGCACCGTGTCTGTGTTAGAGCCTCCATTGTGTTTGTCATGGACCTGTCTAATTACTGGAACACCTGCTTTTGACCTCTTCATATCAGACTCCGCACCGAGACATGAAGAATGACTCAGAAACAACAAAGACTGTCGAGTATCTCTGAACACGTTTAATTCACGAGTTTACAGCATTTTCTCCTCCGTGCTCGCTCACGCGTGTTTTGGTGGTTCGGGCGCGCTCCACACACGCTCCGGATCTGCGTTAAAGTCCCGCCTCCGTTTGATTGACAGCAACAGGCAGATTTCTCCACAGTTTATTCTATAAGATTGAAACTCGAAACGGGAAACTGTCAATAATGCGAAAAGTAATCAAAATGCGGGACTGTCCTGCACAAAACGGGACATTTGGTCACCCTATCTGAATTGTATCAGATGTATAAATATGACACGTGTATAACTTATTGCTTTATACAGGTAAAAATGCGTAGTGGAGATAAATCTACCTACATTTTACTTTATTTTCTTGTTTTTATTTAACTATTTCCTGTCCTGTCTCTCATCTTCCTGCATCTCCTCTAAACTCTCCAGAAAATCTGCTGCCTGGATTCTTACCTTTTCACCTCATCAGTTACTTTTGAGCAGATCAAAGGGATCTCCTGACCGCAAAGCGGAGAGCGCGTTTCGATGCTGCGTCACGCCGGGGACACACTGGCCGCGGAAGCGCCGCGAAAATGGGACCGCCTTCATTCGGCGCCCTTGTTAAGCTATTCTATAGACCACATGGGCCGCCGAAGCGCCGCGAATCGCCTCGCGCCGGCGCGCGCCGGCACCCCAGCCCGCGCCGTGCAGCGATCATTTCGGCGTTGGGTCTATTTTTTTCGCGAGCCGCGGGTGAATCGCGTCAATTCTGGCAGGAAGTCAAACGTAGACATAAGAGGCAGGCCGGTAAAGTTAACAAAATAAAGCTTTTCAAAATAAAATTCCGCAATAGTCAAATGTGTTCGTAAACAGACACTGCAGAAAAACCACACGAACACGCACACACATACACACACATCGAACTTGTGTGCGTGTGTGACCACGTGAAGGGGGGTGTGGTTTTGGGTGTCTTTTCACCGGAGCAAACAGGACAGAGAGGCAGAAAGTCTGAGGCAAGCAGTTAGGATGGATGACTTTAAATGAATTATGGAAGTTGAGAAACACAAGGAGCTGTACGACCCCCGAAAAACACGATTATTTACGTACCCATTTAGGAAGAAACTGCTAGGATACAGCTGCAGAATTGGAGCGGGTTCCATGAGATTCAACTGGCAGAAACAACTCATACCATAGGTTCACACACACAGACACACACACACACACACACACACACACACGCGTACAAACACTCAAACGTAGAGGAAAAGAGCTGAGGAAAGGCAGAGAGGAAATGGAGGACACCAAGTGTTTAAAAGAAAAACTACAGCTGAGCCGAGGCGCGCCTCGACTGGGGCGTGTCTGATCTGAACTGAGGAGCGGCGAGCAGCGGCCGAATTTCGTGAGCGATTCGCTTCTCGGCGCTTCGCGGCGCTTCGCGGCGCTTCGCGGCCGGTGTGTCCCCGGCGTCAGTGAGGTGAAATCACCGCAGCACACGATGAGCGAGCGCGTCAGGCATGATTACCAGAGGAGTACCAGGGGATTTAAATGGATATGAACGATCATGTGTTAATAATAATGTTGTGTTGCGCCACCTTGAGAATGCATCATGCACCGGACGCAGCGGGCGCCCCAACGATCAGCGCTCTGCGTCCTCTCCGCTCAACAGAACCCCGCTACGCTGAGAGTCCATAAATATTGTAATACAGGCAGAAACTGGATCTTTCCCTGAAAGATATCTAGCCCCCATAACTCCATCCCTGCTCCTGGATGAAAAACTTTTGATCAATGTAGGAAACCCCCCCCCCCCCCCAGACAGAGTGAAAAGTGGACATGTCTGGGGGAAGAGGACGTATGGTCAGCCTACAACAGCATCAACCATAGATATGTACCAACTAGTGAGAAAAGCTATTCTTTGTCTGCAGAGCTTTTAGTGCTTTTCGGTGTGCACCGCTGCTGATGCAGCGCTCCTAGTGGCTTAACGCTGCAACTGCAGTTAAAATAACATCCATATAACTGGGGCAGAGTGAAATCAGGCTGGGGCGGCACTAAATTAACTGGAGGCGGCCGCCACTCAGATTTGAACGCAGGAAAACCCCTGTGTAAATACATAAACTTGCTTATATTCAGTACAAGTTACATAGGGTTTTTTACATCCCTTAGTTGAAAAATATGAGAAAATAATTGCGAATAAATCACAATTAGGTTACTTTCCAGAATCGTTCAGCCCTAGGTCAAACACGCAGGAAGGAATAAATGTGGTTAGAAAAGTCAGCTAAGATGTGGAAGAAGGATTTCTGCTTATTCACTCTTTCCTGGTTTTTCTCTTTAGGAACTACAGCAGAACCTGTAAATGAACATTCTCCCCACTGATCCATCTGCTCCTTGTAGGTTTTGTGAAGGATGTGGCCCGACCAGACTACTGGGTCCCGGACCAGAACATCACCCAGTGCCACGAGTGCTCCAGAGTGTTCACTCCAGCCATGTCCAAGCACCACTGCAGGGCTTGTGGACAGGGAGTGTGTGGTCCCTGCTCCACACACATCAAACCAGTGCCCTCCCGAGGCTGGGACCACCCCGTCAGAGTGTGTGACGCCTGCTTTTCCTGTACAGATGGCATGTAACCACCTCCTCCTCACACAGTCTTCCTAGTTGGTCCTCCTCTCTCAGCAGCAGCTCTCCGAACCTGGAAACCTGGGCTGGATGGCAGAAGAGGACAGCACTGGAATCATCCCAGCTGCCTTTAACTGACTCTGGATGTGTTCTGAGCCACAGGGCCCGCCATTGATACCATTCTCTAGGGCCTGTCTGACTGGTAAAACTGGTTTAGGCAAACTGGACAACATATATAGAAGTTTAATCTTCTCACCTTTCAGACGATGTCATCAGAGATCAATCTCAGCTCTAAAATCTCTTATTTTATTGTTGCACATCTATGCAGCAGGAGGCCTGGTTCCAGTTTGTGACAATATTCAGAACTCAGATGGACTTGTGTGTGCTCCTGCGGTGTTTAGGATGGGAACAGAGAAGGTCTGCAGCAGTGTGTGTGTGTGTGTGCGTGGGGGGGCTTCATGGGTGTCTTCTTAACCACTCCTGTTGCCACTAAGCTTTTATTTAAAGGATTTCTTCAGATATGCTAAAACTGAAGTTCATTTGTGCCTACATAGGGAGAAATGCCCTTTACGGTGCAGATGGTGAAAGGGTTAGGAGAGTGAAACAGGTAATTTATCATATTTAGACATTCCAGTCTTGTAGGAATTTTCTTCTAACGAAGCTGCTGATGGGACTTTATTAAATCGCCGGTTATAAAGTGTAAGTAAAGGTGATGTAATTAGGGCACGTTCGGTGTTTTAGTTCCTGTTTCCTGTGTGGAAACTAACTAGCACTTTTAAAGGTTTTTCACTCGTATTTTTCAGGTGTCAATCTGGAATTTATTCTTCATTCTGAAGCTTTATTCAATAAAGAAATCTGAGTATTTCTGTCTACATCTGTTTGCTGTGCATTAAAAGTGTCCACCATATTTTAGATTGGGGCAAAGAATGGAAAGAATCCACCAGCCTCTAAGTAAATCAATGCATTTATCACCCAACTTCCAGAACCTGCACCTTTCTAAGGAACCAGATCAGTTTTAGATTATTGTTCCACTCTTCTACGTTGGTTCTGCTAAGCTCTCAGTGTTCCTGTCAGGGTCTGGTCCGGACGCTGACTGGCCCAGAGTAGAACCTTGGTTCTGCTGTGGATCTGCTGCTGTGTTTGAATCGTAGTTCTGGTTTAATGAACCAGTTTGGTCCAAACCTCAGCTGTCAGACCGATGGACCCACTTTGGTCTACAGCGTAGGTCATGGATCACTCAGCCCACCAAGTTTGAGCTGTGTGGTTTCATCAGACATGGTGCTGTGCATTATGGGTAGCTCTATTGACATAGCTGAAACATGCTTTTTGAGCCTTCACAGCTCCTGTAGTCTCTGTGTGCGCTAGCAGAGAGTGTGAGAAGTATAGATATGTATATAAGCCCCCATAATAGGAAGCCTAAGTCACTTCCGCATCACGGGTCCCCGGAAGAACGAAAAAATCAAAGCAAGTCAACTGGGCTAAAACCTATTTTCTCATCTGCTTTGCCTTAAGTCCTGGATCGCACAAATGTACTGCAATTTAAATGAAAACTAATGAGGTGCGTTTCAACCACGTCAGTCACGTACTTTGAGATTTATCAACTTGTAAAAGTTCACAATTAGCATGACTACAAACTAGAGATCGGCATATGTCACGTAATCTCTTCTCCCCTAGCATAGCTGCTACTTACCAAATGACCAGATTCGTGGTGGTTCTTTCCTCCTCTGGGAAGTTTGCAGAACTTACAGCCATTTTTCCTCTGTTTCTCTCCGTGTCTGGTTTAATGACGTCACTTTCGTGAAGCGCATTTGCAGTCCTGGGCTTAATTTCACACAAAACTCAAAATATCGTTCCTCCCCCGTTTGAAAATAAGCGCATTCTTGGTATCAAAGTGTGTCTCTAAAATTCACGGACATAAAGGCACAAAACAAGCGGAATTAGAAAAAAGCGTTTTTGGCGCCGTTGACTTGCATTCATTTTTTCGTTCTTCCGGGGACCCGTGATGCGGGAGTGGCTCCCTATTCTGCAATAAATATGAAGCCAACAAGGAAGTGGCAACATTTGCAGTTCCACCTTCATCCACTAGGGGCTGGCAGCAGATGTGAGCAAATCTTCAGACCTAGCTCTGGGCAAAGGCCTCAGCCTCACGTTAATAGTTGTTCGGCCATTTTTACTCTCTGAACTTTAGTTGTGTCCTCTGTGTGTTTGGATGTTAATCATGAAACAGACGCAATCTGGCTGTGTTCTACGTACGTACCCCTGAGGAGACTCCCTTTCAGATCCGAGATGTCGGATGACCCCAAGGTACCGAAGTTGTAGAAAAGACCGCAGTACGACCAGGTCGGTCCAGAGTCGTCTCCTGGATCACAGCAGATAGATGAAATCGTTAGCGTCTAGAACAGCTGTTTCTGAATAGCTGAAGGAACCGTTTGCTGCGTCAGCTTCAGCGTGTAGCGGGTTTTTGACAGCTTGTCAAAAATGCTCTGGGTTAAAGAGTTTTCGCTCCGGATGGCCTGTCCGTAGCTTTCTCTAGAACTGACTCACCATCAAGTAAGCTCTGTTTTAATTTTCTCATATTATGATTTCTTGGCCAATCGGGACGTGCCATGTTAAGGGGTGTTAACAAGCAAACCTCAGAACGTCACGCCTTCTTTCAGATACAGGATGCTCTGATTTGTGCCTAAGAAAATACCTGTGTCATGACGTTTAACTTAACTCTAATGAACCTTGTGTCTTGAGTGTAGATAATGATTCACTTGTCATATCAAACTTCAGTAATTCAAACAGAGGATGAGTCTGGCAGGCCAGGCTACTGATATGTTGGAGTTAGCATAACACAAAGATGATCTGAGGATCAAAGATGGGCTCGGGAGGCTGCTCTCTAGGCCTTCTTGATGTCAGTGTAGACCAGGTCCAGTGTGTTTTTTCCTCTGGTTAAAGTCTACGTGCTGATGGAATTTTGGGAGAAAGGTTTTAATGTTCGCCTGGTTTAAATCTCCAGCAACCATAATGATGACCTCTGGATGAGTAGCTTGCACGTCACTGTTGGCACTGTAGAGGGTGCTTAGCACTTGTTTGGTGTCAGTGCTGTGTGGAATGTACGCAGCCACAATGACAACAATAGTAAATTCCAGGGGCAAATAGAAAGGTCTGCATTTAATAATCAAAAACTCGATGTCCACAGCGCAATGGTTCAACACTAAAGTCGCGTTGTTACACCAGCTAGTTAGTGTCGATGCAGATGCCACCCCGTCGGGTTTTACCTGTGAGAGCATTGCTCCTATCGGCTCTAAATGTTGCTATCCCATCTAGGCTAATAGCTGCATAAGGAACAGAAGAGTGTAGCCATGTCTCGATAAAAATGAGGACGCAGCAGTCTCTTGTGTCCCTGTTTGTGGTTGCCTGAGGTCAGCATCACTGCAGACTTGGGTGAAGTGCAGATTAAGGGTGCAATGGTGGCGTGGTCAACTTCCACACTTGAGAATCGGCACACCCTACGCACTCGCACCCCTGGCCGGGAACACGCAATCGAAGGGTGCAAGTGTGATTATTGAGATTAAGCCATAGATATACTATGTCTGTGGTTGCAGACTTGGGCGAAGTGCGGATCAAGTGTGCAAAAGGAGCATGTCAGCTTTCGCATTTGAGAATCGAGACATCCTACGCACTTGCACGCCTGGTCGGAATTGTGCAAGTGATGGGCGCAAGGGTGGAAATGCTAGAATTGGGATTGGGCCACAATCTGACAGGGGAACTCAAAATGACAATACACTGGAGCTATTTAGTTAGAACGTGCAGTTAACATGTTTCCATGGCAACGCCAGAAGTCCGCTTCAGCTTTTGTTTCTCCACAAATTTTTATTAAAGGTTTCATCATTTATGTGTCGTTTTCATGTTTTGCTCCAGAGTCTGGATGCTTTTCGACTGGAAGACTTTATTTTTGCTGAGCAGCTGTGAGTTTTAAGATTATACGTTCGTGGTGGTCACATGACCCTAAAGTTAACTCTGTAAACCGTTTAGCACTCGTATTACACACTGAGGACAATTTACATGTAAGTGTTTTTCTCCCCAGAAGAAGCTACAACGATGTTCTGCTGAGCTGTGGTGGCCTCATGGAGGGGGCCATCGGCTAGCAAAACTGTTGCTAACCACTTAAACATTCTCTCTCTCCTGATAATAACTTTTTACTCTCTTTGACGTTGGATGTGCTACTACTAGTTTACCCGTTTAATCATAGATCCACTAGGATAAATACAATGAAGTTTATCTTTCACCAAATAGAATATTTACTAAGAAATCACAATGTAACCATAGACACACTACTTTGTGTGTGTGTGTGTGTGTGTGTGTGTTTAAAGAATAAATATAAAAATATGAAGAACAAAGCTGCAGCTGCTGCTACTGCTGTGGGCCAGCGGTGCAGCTAATTCACCACCTTGTAGCTGCCAGCCCCCAACAAGAAAAAGGTGATGTCACCTCGTCCAATCATATTCACAAAGCTTCAGTAAGCCTAGCTGCTAGCATTCAGGTTGGTTCTCCTGCATGTGTTACCATGGTGACTGGGAGGGTTTTCGGGCTAGCCACGTTCATAGAACTGATTTAGGGGCGGTTACACCGGGAATCTCACAAGGGTTTGGGGAAAATCACACTTTCTCGAATATCCCCCAGTTGGCACACACCTGTATGCTCCAGACCACCAGAAGCATCAGAACATTGTCCAGAATTCAGAAGGTTGCAGGTTTGATCCCGGCTCCGGACAGAGAATTCTGCTGTTGTGTCCTTGTGCAAGACACTTAACCCACCTTGCCTGCTGGTGGTGGTCGGAGGGACCGGTGGCGCCTGTGCTCGGCAGCCTCTCCTCTGTCAGTGCGCCCCAGGACAGCTGTCGCTACATCGTAGCTCATCACCACCAGTGTGTGAATGTGTGTGTGAATGGGTGAATGATACACTGTAGTGTAAAGCGCTTTGGAGTCCTTACTCTGAGAGGTGCCACTAAATGCACTGTGATTTATTATCGTGTGATTGTTCAATTCAATTCAATTCAAGTTTATTTATATAGCGCCAAATCACGACAAGAGTCGTCTCAAGGCACTTCACATAATAAACATTCCAATTCACAGTTCATTAAGCCAATCAGAAATAATGTTTCCTATATAAGGAACCCAGCAAATTGCATCAAAATTGTTGATTTTATATTTCCTCATCAGGTTGATGCAGTGATAGCTTGCTCCTGTTGTATTGTTGTGTGTTGTTTTTCTCTTTCTGCAGGTCTAGAAGCAGATTCTCGTTCATCATTGGTTGTTTATTTTGTGACAAAGTTGGTTTATTTAATTAATTCCGTTCAAAAGGTGAAACTTGTGTATTAGATTCATTCATTACACAGAGACTGATTTCAAATCTTTATTTTCTTCAATTTTGATGATTATACCTGACATCTAATGACAATCCCAAATTCAGTATCACAGAAAATTTGAATATTGTGAAAAGTTTTAATACTGAAGACCCCCGGTGACGCACTCTAATCAGTTAATTCAAAACACCTGCAAAAGCTTTTAAATGGTTTCCCAGCCTAGTTCTGCAGGATACACAGTCATGGGGAAGACTGCTGACTTGACAATTGTCCAAAAGACGAGGCGAAGGGGAGGACGAGATGTGGTATACAAAACTGTACATGCAATAGAATAACTGCACCCCGGAGAGGACATTCAACGATGTGGGGGAGATTTACAAAGAGTGAACTGCAGCTTGAGTCAGTGATGCAAGAACCAGGGGCGGTTTTACCATTAGGCATAGGTAGGCGGCCGCCTGGGGCCCCCTTGTGTTGGGGGGCCTCCTAGCCCTGACCGCCGGCACCCCTCTGTTAATGCCACAATATTCTTATTACCAATCTGTCGCCGCAGACAGGATTGGACATGCTTCTCGTTACCATAATTCCTGAACCGTTCAAGATATCATTAAAATTCCAAAAGTGCTGAAAAGATAAAAAATGGGGCTTTTCGTGCATATACAATACATTACGGTCACCACCAGGATTCCCTGTCTTGAGCGCAACGAATCACAACACAGATTCAGAGACGTGCTGTTTGTCATCCAAAATGATCCGTTTTATAACTTTTGAATGGCTGATCAGATTCAAAACATTCCAACAGTTCCTAAAAGTACATGAAAGCAGCTTTTCAAAGATCTATAGCATGAAGCAATCAGAGTTAGGGAAAATATCGCTACGAGGGGAAATCCTGCTGTACAGCCTGATTGAAACGGAGCGCAGCGCCGCGGTGAAAGCAGATAACGGAACGGGGAAGCTAATTAGCATAAAAATCAGCATGAAATTATGGAAGTGCCTCAAAGAAAATCAGCACAATCTATTAGGTGTCCCAGAAGGCTTACCGTAAATCCTCTAATACAGGCCCGGGCCTGTATTTGACTCAAGCTCATCAAGCTCCAGGCCTTTATTGGAAGGAGGGCCAGTATTAGAGGCAGGCCTCTATTTCTATTTGAGCAAAATGAACTAATGGTTTGCTGGAGTCTTTGACAATTAAAATTGCGCCCACATTTTCAAAGTTAAACACATTTCTTTTAACAACGGTAGTTTCTGCCTCAGCCCTCTCCCCCCTCCCCCTGCTTCAGCCCTCTCCCCCCTCCCCCTGCGCAGCGGCCGCAAACTCACTGATGCACCTGCAGCCTCTCGGAGTTCCTGCTGCTCTAAACATTAAAATAATTATTTCATTTTCTGTTCCTCACTTCTGATTACCTTCAATGGTGTCTGTTTGTTGCAACCACCAGGTACAAAAACTAACTTGTTTTTATTTGACTATTTTTCTGTCCTGTCTGTTTATTATCTTCCTGCATCTCCTCTCCATCCTAAAGAAAAACTGCTACCTGGGTTCATATATATTCACCTCATGAGTTACCTTTGAACTGCAGTTCTAAAACATCTACCGACCGCAAAAACAGCGGAGCGCTCGCTGTTTGGCGGCCGTATCAGTGATCAGTGCGTCGGAGGACAAGGTGATGCCCGCAGCGCCCCGCTCCACAGCATGCAGCGAAACGCATCAGGCGCAAATAAAAGACAGAAAACATTCAAGGAAATGAACCGACATGAACGATCGCGTGTTAAATTAGTTTTTGAGGTGGCCGTGCTCAGGAGGCAGATCTACCGACCGCGAAAACAGCTGAGCGCTCCCTGCTTGCCGGCCGCATCATGGATCTGTGAGTCGGAGGACAAGTTCATGCGCCCCGCTCCACAGCAGCGATACACATCAGGCGCAAATAAAAGACAGAAAACATTAAAGGAAATGAACCGACATGAACGATCGCGTGTCAGTAGCTAAGGTCCGGCACAGCGCGTTGCTGATCACAGAGAATGTGATCATACGATAATTCAATAGGGAGCGTGGTTTCACAGACGCGGAAGTGAGAGCGTCGGTGAAACGCCGGCTGCTCTAGGAAACCCCCGAGCCTTCGAGTGTCAACGAAGTGACACGGAAATGCCGGGCTTTCCAGAAGTAAGTAAGATAACTTACTATGAGCTGATAGTTCGTTGGATTGATTGGTAGGTTGGAAACTCTGATCATGAATCTGAAGAAACGATGACTGAGTGGTGAGCTGGAAAGGCGACTTCCGTTTGGTTTATAGCCGCGGTTTGTGACGTAGGTGCGACGTGGAGGGAATCCCCGCGAGGGGCATGCTGGGAGTCCCTACTTCGCGGATTTTCACCTATCGCGGCCAGGTCTGGAACGCATCTACCGCGATAAACGAGGGATTACTGTAGTTCATACACCCCCTACTGCTGCTCTCCAGAGTGTTCTGCAGTGTAATCAGCACGTTCTCTTTGAACTTGATAGTGTAATGACCTGGCTGGGGTTGTAAGCCAGGTGCATTCTGGGTATTGTGTTATATGTGTTTCCTATCGTCCTGCTAGTTCCTATGTGCTGATTTGCGTGTTGTGTGAGTGTTATGTAAGCCACAGGGAAGGTGATGTGTGTTCTGTGGAGCGGGTTGAATTAGCATGGTTAACTGACACCGTGACTCTGTGTGGTAGGAGCATGATAGAGGATCATGTCTGTAGCGTTACAAAGCGTTGAAAAAAAGCCTAATAAAGGTTTGCGTGAACCCCTACTGCCTCCTGCTGGTTGATTTGGGAACTATAACCCTGCCGCTGGGACGCTCGTACTTGTTTGTTACCACATTCCATCCGGCCACAATAAGAGACCGGCCATTATTTACCTCCGCTGACTCTGACACCGGCCAAAATTGGAGACCCGGCCTTTAATTGAATACCGGCCTGTATTAGAGGATTTACGGTATATCTGAAGACAGTGACCACGAAGAAGGACAGATCTCCGGTGAACCAGGATATGAATGTTTGTTCAGTCTTTATTTTTTATTTTTTATTTGAACAACCCTCAACTATTTGCTGATTGTAAGATTCAGCTTCATTCCAGCATTATTTATCTTTTTACCATAAATAATTATTTTTGCTAAAACAAAAGTTTTTGGTATATCAGTGCACGGTGTGCAAGAGAAGCACCCCATGGCAGTGTGAAGTGTGCAGGACTCTACCTGCAGCTGGAGAGAAACTGCTTCAAGGTCTACCACATCAAATAAAAACATCTGAAAGTTTACAAAAATAAATGGTCTTAAAAACTGCTAAAAATGATACCAAGGTTCACATTTTTTTAAGAATAGATGCATTACAGTTCAAAGTTTAAATTGTTCATTCCAAATTGTTTGCCCAGTCATTTTGAAGTTCCTGTTCAGTAATAAATGAAAAAAAATTCAAATCCGTTTTTCACTTTTTTCACTTTTAAGCTGATTTTTTAAAGGCTTTAATAGAAATAAATTCTAAATACAAACCATACATTGAAAGCTGAGATTGATCTGAAAAAAGGAGAAGAGTTACACACACTTTGTACTTTTTATTACTATTTTACAGCCATAAGATTAAAAAAATACCAGGCGGCCCTGTTATAATTATGGTCATAAGAGGGTTATTAAGACGGCGATGCACAAACAGGAAGTGATTGGTAGTCATTCCACTCCAATCCAGTTGGTGGCAGTAATGCACCAAATGGTTGTTTGCCAAGTGCCATAAGACCACAAATAATAAGAAGAAGAGAGGCGGGAGCGTTCGTAACAAACTCAAAGCAATAGTCAAACCGTTAAGCATGACATGGAGTTATCCTAGTGGCTCCAATAAGAGAAAGAAGCAGCATACTTCATAAAAGCTTTTATTTTCACTTCTGAAAGTGACGTCGTTTCTCGATCTAAACATCAAATGGAAGCAGAAAGGAAAGACAATGGAAAATGTTTAAAGGGAGGAAAACATAGACCAAAATGGAAAATAGAAAAAAATAACTAAGGCTAAAGCACAGGAGCGCTAACAGGAAAAAGAAAGCAGAGCAAATATTGAAAGCGCTCAAAAGGAGGGAAATACAGGAAAAGGGAAAATAAATCATGTCAGAAGAGGGGAGAGTTTCGCCAATCCAGTTAAAGGTAAGATTGTTGAAAATTTTGTGTAAGGGGCCCCATGTCTGTGTTCGCCTTGGGCCCCCAAATTGCTAAACCCGCCTCTGGCAAGAACCACCACACACAGACATATGCAAGACATGGGTTTCAGCTGTTGCATTACTTGTGTCAAACCACTCTTGGACAAGAGACAGCCTGAGCTAAACACCATAAGCACTGGACTGATGCTGAGCTGTCCAAAGTTATGTCTCTGATGAAAGTAAGCTTTATATATCCTTTGGAAGCCTAGGTCCCAAAGTCTGGAGGAAGAGAGGAGAGGCACAGAATCCATGTTGCTTGAGGTCCAGTGTGAAGTTTCTACAGTCAATGAAGAGTTGGGGCGCCATGTCATCTGCTGGTGTTGGTCCATTGTGTTTTCTGAGGTCTAGGGTCAACACAGCCATCTACCAGGAGGTTTTACAGCATTTCATGCTTCCTGCTGCTGACCAACTTTATGGAGATGCAGATTTAATTGTCCAACAGGACTTGGCTCCTACACAGTACCAAAGCTGCCAGTACCTGGTTTAAGGACCATGGTGTCCCTGTTCTTAATTGCTCATTCTTCTCAGTTGGCCAACATTTCTAAAATTCCTTTATTTTTTTTATTTTTTATTTTTTGCATTGGTCTCAATTGATATTCTGAGATCCTGAAATCCCTAATCTTCCAAACGTCATCAGCTGTTCTCAGAAGCAGAGTTCCTATATGAAGCAGGATGTCAGCAGTTTTGCTATGATAAATCAGTCCAGCACTGCATCACCATGACAACCAGGTCCATTGTCCTTAGGTAGCTTTAGAGTTGAAATCCACAGCTGGTTCCAATTAGAAGTTAGTCTGTGGACTCATTGTTCTAACAGGATCATTAAAATATTGTTTGTTTTTCCTAATGTCTGATTCTTTACAAGCAATTACATCCTTTTTGAAATGAGAAACTACTTCCATCTACCCGAGGAAGAAATGTTTTTATTCTGTTCTGTTCTAATCAGGGGCAGGCCTGATCAAACCTCAGAGGTTTAACTGTTGATCAAACACACCAACACACACACCCCAACACATACTAAAATAACAACAATACAATCTAGAAAGAAGCATTTCTAACCAAAATGCTGTTTGAATGCTGAGTCCTGAAAAAAGGTGAGACCTTCCAAATGACCTGAAGCTGACATTAGCTATATTCATACTTATTATTTTTTGTTGAAAATGTGGGATTGACACAGTAAACTTGATGTAAAGACAGGGCTGATAAAAACTAACAAAGTTAAAAGTTGAAGTTCCACACATAGATTGAAGAAGGTATTAGCATAAGTTCTATTTGAGTATTCCTTCCATTGTAGCTGTTTACTTGAGCTGCAGTGTTTGGACTTCATTGAACCTTCCGGGTCACCATGCTCTCTTAACCACACAATAGAAAATATCTAAATTTATTAGCCAAAAGCTAGCTAGATCACCCAATGGCTTAAAGGCAGGGTATGCAAGATTTAAATGTGAAATAACTTTAAAAATGTTTAATTTTTACCGACTGACCTAGTTTTATTTAAAAAGGTAAATAATCTTTAATATTTAAATTTTCTCCTAAGTCCCTCCCCTGCCCTGTAGAGCTCAGCCAATATTTCTGCAAGCCTAACGCGTTGACTAATAGCGCTGCACTACCACCAGGGGGCAGCTGTCAATCATCGAGAACGAGCATTAGATCTCAGCGTGCACAAGCACAACAGTGTCACGCGCCTCACTCGGCTCACTGTTTCGTGATCTACGCGGCCTGAAAACGGTTGAAGTTGGCAAAGTATCCTTTGGAGTGGTGAGTTATTTATTGTTTTTCGGATAAATTTACTTAAAATCTTTCTTTCACTGAAAGAAGTAATAGAGCAAACAAGCTTTGTATGCTTAGTGTCCTATTGGCTAATGTAGCATTAGCTTGAATGCTAAGTCGACATGAATCTATGTTAGTCTTGAACTATTTATGCTATATTTGGAAGAAGTTTGAGTAACGAAATGGGATTTTAGTTATATTTGTATGGGAGCTAATGATTAGTGTGGCGTTTAACTATAGGCCATATCAGTACGAGGCTGAAGTTAGCTTCCGATTCGGGAAACGGCTAAAGGGTCAATACACCCAATTTTTCTCTACTCTGGCCATCTTTAATCTGCTCTAGCTCACAAACTACAACAGCCACACTGTTCAAAACTGTTCTAGATTATTCTATAATAATAGCAGATTGCATACAACCTTGTTTGGGATTTGTGAAACCTTTCCCTGATTTGCGAAACTTCAGCAAAGCATGATTTATGCGTTTTTTCAGCATCTGGCCAACGATGGAACAGCTGTAGCTCAAGAAGTACAGCCCCTACACTATTCAAACCTGTTCTAGATTACCGTAAATCCTCTAATACAGGCCGGTATTCAATTAAAGGCCGGGTCTCCAATTTTGGCCGGTGTGTGGAGTCGGCGGAGGTGAATAATGGCCGGTCTCTTATAGTGGCCGGGTGGAATGTGGTAACAAGCAAGTACGGGGGGGGGGGCGGTTGTGTCATCCTCTCACTTTTGATTTGCCAGTGATAGACCGCGAGGGTAACTTTAACCATGCGGAGACAAGCTGTGCCAAAGCGTCGGTACTGACACGCGATCGTTCATGTCCGTTCATTTCCTTTGATGTTTTCTGTCTTTTATTTGCGCCTGATGTGTTTCGCTGCTGCGGAGCGGGGCGTATCACCTTGTCCTCCGACGCACCGATCACTGATGCGGCCGGCAAGCACGGAACACTACGCTGTTTTTGCGGTCGGTAGATCTGCCTCCTGCACGGCCACAGTAACAATCAGGTGTCGCCACCTCAAAAAAATTATTTTACACGCGATCGTTCATGTTGGTTCATTTCCTTTGATGTTTTCTGTCTTTTATTTGCGCCTGATGTGTTTCGCTGCGGAGCGGGGCGTATCAACTTGTCATCCGATGACGCACAGATCACTGATGCGGCCGGCGAGCAGCGGCACTCCGCTGTTTTTGCGGTCGGTAGATCTTTTAGAACTGCAGTTCAAAGGTAACTCATAAGGTGAATATATATGAACCCAAGTAGCAGTTTCTCTTTAGGATTGAGAGGAGATGCAGGAAGATAATAAACAGGCAGGACAGAAAAATAGTCAAATAAAAACAAGTTAGTTTTTGTACCTGGTGGTTGCAACAAACAGACACCATTGAAGGTAATCAGAAGTGAGGAACAGAAAATGAAATAATTATTTTAATGTTTAGAGCAGCAGGAACTCTGAGAGGCTGCAGGCGCATCAGTGAGTTTGCAGCCGCTGCACAGGGGGAGGGGGGAGATGGCTGAAGCAGAAACTACCGTTGTTAAAAGAAATGTGTTTAACTTAAAAATGTGGGCGCAATGTTAATTGTCAAAAACTCCAGCGAACCATTAGTTCATTTTGCTCAAATAGAAATAGAGGCCTGCCTCTAATACTGGCCCTCCTTCCAATAAAGGCCTGGAGCTTGATGAGCTTGAGTCAAATACAGGCCCGGGCCTGTATTAGAGGATTAACGGTATTCTACTATAATAGCAGATAAAATAAAACACAGTGTGGGATTTGTGAAACCTTTCCCTGATTTGTGAAACTTCAACAAAGCCAGATTTATGCGTTTTTTCAGCATCTGGCCAACGATGGAACAGCTGTTTTGCCTCTGTTTGTTTTAAGTTAGTGGTGGGTTATTTTGAAGAAATTCTGGAAATGGGATAACGAATGACTATAAAAAATGTATAGAAATAAATAAGTAAAACTATATTTTATATAGTGCCTCTCAAGATAAAACTCTTGAGGCGCTTCACAACAAAATTAAAAATATTAAAATAAAAATTTATATTTTTATTTTAAACAAAGTTTATGAGAAAAAAATAACACAATTGTGTTTTTAAAATGTAAAGAAAGAGACAGGAAATTATTTGTAAAGAAGGAATTCAGTGGATACAGAGAAATGCGTGATAAGTAGAGGGAGAAAAATAAGGAGAGGGTGATGATGGCGGCCAATAGACGAGGTCTATTACCTTCAAAATGTCAAAAATATGTATTGATTCTAATCATATTCTTGTGCTTGTATTTTATTTTCATAGGTATGAAAATTTGGAGGAGGTGATGGAACAAGGTGAAACTGAAAATGAAGGATCTTCACAAATGTAAGTACGAGGTTTTATCTGTATACGGCTGTCACATTTGTCAGGAAAAGTAACCAATAATTACTTTTGTAGGTTATCTTGTGTGGGAATTGAAGAAAACATTGACGAGGAAGAGTACAATAATATTCAAAACTCTGTGTAAAAGTATTCAGATGTTAACACAATGTGTCTAATTTTCCATACTAAAAACTTTTTTTGTGTGTGTATTCAGGGCAAGTACATCAAAGAGAACACATGGTCACCAGAGAACCAGAAGTTGATTCGTCTTCAGAGGAGGACAAAACCATCTAGATGGACAGCGGTACTGATGACGGCGGTGATGAGGACTACACACCTTATATACACATAAGGTAATTCCTTTCATTTAATTTGAAACACTTTTTCAGCTAATTTGTTGGATACTACAAGTTATGGTACGTGTCATTTCAGATACCATAAAATATTCAACAAAAAATCTAGATGCTGGAGGCTGTATTCTGAGAAGGTGGCAAAAGACTACTCCTACATCCCAGAGATCCAAACCATGATCGTCAGCCAACGTTTGACAAGCAAGAAAGGTCTTCCTCGACGCTACAAGCTAAGGCCTGAGGATCCAAGGCGTTACGGTTTGCTGTCCGGAGTCCCTGCACCATCAACAGAGGAACTTCTACAACACCTAAGGACTCGCGGTGATGGTAAAATAAAACATTATCTGCCTTACATCTTCCACACAATAGTCCATTGCTGATTGAGTTTATTTTTTATTTACAGGTAAAACTTTGCCACAGACTTAGGTGTTGGGGGAGACAAGAGAAAACCCAAAACCTTCTTTATTTTTGTTTCCTGTGTTTGTTTGTTTTTTGTTTGAAAATAAAGATATATTTTGGGGAAATAAGGACTAATAATTAAAAAATGTATGTAAAATGCTGGAGGTAGACATACGTTTTTGTTGTTGTGCAGGAGTTTTAAAATTTATGGTATTTTTACAAATGCAACAGAGAGTTATGCTTTAGAACACTTTATTAGAGCATCAAACAAAAATATATAAAAACAAACTGATGTAAAATATTAAATATATACAATTATTTACAATCATCTTGGAAGAAAACCAGTGTAGTTACCATTGGGGTCAGGGAGTTTTTCCCTTATCCTCCAGAAGCTACAAATTGTCTGTAAGCTGCATGGCGGAACTGTCTGTTGTCCTCACCAGGGTCCGGGTCATCATAAACCACTCGAAACTCATTCCACAATGTTCTGGCCAGGCGAAGAACACCATTTTGCAGAATGAACTCCTCCACGTGCGGGACAGTTGAAATACATGTCTGGGGAGGCTGTTGGCAGCATTTCCTTTCCAAATCAGTTGGCATATCTGCAGTGGGAGCATACACACCATGAAGGTTGGTTGGATGTTGGAGGTGTTGTGGCAGGTGGACCAGAGAGGGCAAGTACATCAGAGAGAACACCAGTCTCTGTCCAGCACCATGGTAAGGATGTCAATGGCCTGCTGAGGGTTCAGGTTCTGTATGTGTTGCTACAAAAGTGGAAAGAGATGCTACAGCAACAGTATTTAGGATCATTTAGTGTAATTTTGTTATGCTTACACGTTCAAAGTCTATTCGCTCGGAACGAAGATTCCAAATTCGAGAGATATCTTCATCTCCAAGGTCCACAGCTGAGTGTCTCGCACTTCTTCGGCCTCTAGAAACACCACGGCATCTGGATGCACCACGGATTTGAGATGATGGTGGGCATCTCCTTTTTGCACCACGTCTTGAGGATGCAATGGGAGGTTCAAACTTCCTCAGAGGATTCCTCAATCACTGAACTCTAAATTGTATTAGAATTTTTAAATAATTATACTAATATAAAAAGTACTCTTGAATATATTAATCAATTTTGACACAGATCAGGTTTACATCTAGTCCAAATTAGGGCTAAACCAACAATAAACAAACTATGAAAACAACCATGATTAGGAGGACTACACAGAATGCAGTGTTTATTCATGATTTCCACATAAATTATTTATATGCTTTGATATACCGTAAATCCTCTAATACAGGCCGGTATTCAATTAAAGGCCGGGTCTCCAATTTTGGTCGGAGTCGGCGGAGGTGAATAAAGGCCGGTCTCTTATTGTGGCCGGGTGGAATGTGGTAACAAGCAAGTACGGGGGGCGGTTGTGTCATCGTCTCACTTTTGATTTGCCAGTGATAGACCGCGAGGGTAACTTTAACCGTGCGGAGACGAAGAGGAGGCTGTGCCAGAGCGTCGGTTCATTTCCTTTAATGTTTTCTGTCTTTTATTTGCGCCTGATGTGTTTCGCTGCATGCTGTGGAGCGAGGCACATCACCTTGTCCTCCGGTGACGCACCGATCACTGATGCGGCCGCCAAGCACGGAGCACTCCGCTGTTTTTGCGGTCGGTAGATCTTTTAGAACTGCAGTTCAAAGGTAACTCATGAGGTGAATATATATGAACCCAGGTAGCAACTTTTCTTTAGGATTGAGAGGAGATGCAGGAAGATAATAAACAGGCAGGACAGAAAAATAGTCAAATAAAAACAAGTTAGTTTTTGTACCTGCTGGTTGCAACAAACAGACACCATTGAAGGTCATCAGAAGTGAGGAACAGAAAATGAAATAATGATTTTAATGTTTAGAGCAGCAGGAACTCCGAGAGGCTGCAGGCACATCAGTGAGTTTGCGGCCGCTGCGCGGGGGAGGGGGGAGAGGGCTGAAGCAGGGGGAGGGGGGAGAGGACTGAAGCAGAAACTACCGTTGTTAAAAGAAATGTGTTTAACTTTGAAAATGTGGACGCAATTTTAATTGTCTAAAACTCCAGCGAACCATTAGTTCATTTTGCTCAAATAGAAATAGAGGCCTGCCTCTAATACTGGCCATCCTTCCAATAAAGGCCTGGAGCTTGATGAGCTTGAGTCAAATACAGGCCCGGGCCTTTATTAGAAGATTTACGGTATTCATCCCATCATGAATGGCAAAGCAATTAAAAATAAGCTAATTACTCGTAATAAATGCTAACAATTTGATAGGATTAATTTTATTTACAATATAGATTGTAAACTGTTACTGGTATTTTAAAACATATATATTTATAGAAATTCTTTATAAAATGCCTTTTGTAAACAGTAAGTGTTTAATGTGCTGGTTAAAAACAACTTTCTTACCTCAGATAACTCCACTGCTAACACTACCTCAGCTCTATTACAAAGAAGCAATGCTCTGGTGTTGACTCGGCTTTTCCTGCGCGTGCACATTAGGAGGTGTGGCTTTCGGCTCTTTCAGGAAGGGCGGGGGAGTGAGCAACAGCCGTTCGAATTTAAAAATCTCCTCCTTCTCACCCTGCCGGTGTCATCTTACGGACGGTGCCTTTAATGAATTGCAGGCAAATCGATGCACACTCAACTGAGACTGTCTGCGGGGCTTGAGAGCCATTTTAGGTAGCCAGGTGGGGGGAGAGGCCTACTGGTTGGGGCATGGTCTAGGGGCCTAGGTGCGTGCTGCAGCATGATGGGTCTGCTGGCTTGAGAGTGTTTTCTTAATCCACCATTTATTCCTTACCATCTCCATGGTTTGGGGGCACCGTTAAGGGTTTGAGCTTGCTAATGGTGGGGACTGATGGGTTGGCTTGGTTCTCCTGTGTTTGGTGGCCACTCGTGGGATGTTGGCATGGGCCCTTAGGGACTGCCAAGTTCCTGGCTGACCTGCATTGGTGAAGGTGATGGTGTGCTAGGCTGTGGGCTCCTGGCTTGGCAGCCCCAAACGAGTTTCCTCTTGCTGGCTCCCTGAGTTTGGGTCTGTCTGGAGGGTTGTTGGCTGGGGCATACATGGCCCCCTGGTCCTGGTGCCAAGGGGGCCTGAGCTTTTTTCTCCTTACCTGTTGTAGTGTAATGGTTTATGGCTCTTTTATGAAAGATGAACCATCCTACATAAAAATCTGGAATATTAATTTTAACAAATTAATAACCAAATGTTATAGAGATAAGAAGACTCAAAGGTTGTTTTCATCGATAAACTGACGATCATATCCGGTTGTCTGTGTTTCAGTTCAATGAAAAGACAAGTTTAAAATTAAAGAGTTTAATTCTTCAATTTAAACTAACGATTTGAAATGACAATCATAGGAAAAATAATCAACATCGGCAACCTTGTTGGACAATCTTTAACAGTTGATATTTTAAGCTTGCACAAATAGACCTTGTGTTGGATGTGCTAAGATTGAGGATGGTGTAATTATGAATGCGTGCATGTGTCTGAGATTGCTTCAGGGAGAGAAAAGGTGAATCTGAGTGAAAAGTGATGTTTTGTAATTAAACTTAGTTCTTATTAGAAAACCAGCATCAGAACGCTATCTATTGTGTTCTGCCTCACCGTACTCAGGACCCTCTTTAAGATCCGGACCTCGGAGGATGTTTATCCAGGTCACACCTTGGCTGGCAGAGAAGACGAAGGTGTGCTGACGGTCCAGTCCAGAGTTGACCTCGGTACACATTGATGAAGCGTTTGGCAGATGCGCTTTCTCAAGTTTAAATTAACTCAGAAATCAAAGACTCTGGGACGAGTCTGCGTTAGCTGGTTGCATTTCAGCTATTCTGTCTGGCTTGACAGAAATAGCGTGGGGGGGGGGGGGGGGGGGTAGAGCCGGCGGGGCTCCGTTCCCCGTTGGTGTTTGTTCCCGCACGTCCGCTCTCTTTCATTCACAATCTCATTCTGACTAACTTACCAAAAACCACTTCTCTTCCCAAAGCAAACTTGTGTGTCAGAGCAAATGTGTTTTGAGTTACTGTGAATCCAGACCTGTGTGAAGGTCATCGCTAAACCTCTTCAAAACATTATTTAATTAAGTATTGATTCATTATAGTTCATTATGATTACCCCAAAGCATAATAATCATTCATTTGATTAAAATACATTTATAATGAGCAAAGTGATCAAATGATTATTTAACTTTAATAATGAAGAAAGTTTAAGACTTTGTTTTATTATGACTAGACTGTGAAGTTGAAGTCCTTCTTCTGGAGACCAGGTGTGCGATTGTTGTGGAATTCTTCAGACTTGCTGTCGGCTCAGGTCTTAATCTGTGGGTGAAAGTTGCTGGGTGACCCAGCTTTGACCCAGCCGGGCAAATACAACCTTTGGCACAGAAAACCCATACTTCCTCACGTTACATACATGGCCCCCTGGTTCTGGTGCCAACGGAGCCTGAGCTCTTTTCTCCTTACCTGTCCATTCCGGTGCCTGAGCAGAGGCGGTCTTTCCATCCATCCAACCATTTTCAACCACTTGTCCAGAGTCAGGTCATGGGGGCAGAAGCCTAAGCCGAGAGGCCCTGACTTCTGGGGCAGCAGTAGCTCAACAGGTTGAGCGGGTTGTCCAGTAATCGGAAGGTTGCAGGTTCGATCCCGGCTCCGGACAGAGAATTCTGCTCCTGTGTCCTTGGGCAAGATACTTAACCCACCTTGCCTGCTGGTGGTGGTCGGAGGGACCGGTGGCGCCTGTGCTCGGCAGCCTCGCCTCTGTCAGTGCGCCCCAGGGCAGCTGTGGCTACATCGTAGCTCATCACCATCAGTGTGTGAATGTGCGTGTGAATGGGTGAATGATACACTGTAGTGTAAAGCGCTTTGGAGTCCTTACTCTGAGAGGCGCTATACAAGTGCGGGTCTTTTATCATTCTCTCTCCCCAACTACTTGGGCCAGCTCTTCCTGGTGAATATCAAATCGTTCCCAGTCCAGCCGAGAGACATAGTCCCTCCAGTGTTTCCTGGGTCTTCCCTTGGGTCTTTTCCCAGTTGGATGTG